TAGAAAGCGCGACAGCGGGAGAAAGTTACAGTTTGGTAATTCATTCAAACGATTTTTCATGTTTTATCTACTTTGTCAAGTGCTGAAATTAACTCGGGTGCCTAGACGATAGGACATTTAAATTTCAAGTTGGTTCAATGTTAGAAATTGAAGGGTGTTTTAAACATGATATAGAATCCAGGGGAATAACTGCAACTCTTTTTATTATAATTATATTTTTCTCTTATATTTGAAAAGAGTTAGTAGGTTATTTCTGCCTCTTACTGACAATTCATTCATATACTTATAATTTGCAAAGCTTTACAAAATTACTCTTATATTTCAAATATACAATTTGATTGATATAATAATATTCAACTTATTTTAGTTAATTAATAACACAAAAATTTTGTTAATAGCCGAATGAGTTTTTGAGAATAATGACAAAATAAGAGCTCATAATTATAATTATTATATAAAATAGATATATCGATTATTGATATTACAGTTATGATTTTAATATTACATGGCTAGCTATTTAAAAATGCTTTATTTTTAAGTGATTAAAAATAACAAATTGCATACTTTTGGGTAAATATGAGAGATCAGATGCTATTTTTGAAATACATAAAAACTTGCTTGAGTTTGAATCGTAAAAGACTAAAGTTTTCTTACAGCTTAGACAGGTGTTGATAACAAAAAATAAAAATTTTCTAAATTTTCCGACCCTCATAACATTTTTGCGGCGAGCTAGTAATTTAAGGGAAGTAATGTGATAGAAGTAATGTCCATGATCGCTTTATAAGAAATTTAATGTTGTAGTTGATTTTTGCTTTATTTGCCGACCGCATTGCATAGAATAAAGGAAAGTGGCATCAAATTTCTCTGTGATAGAGAAAAGTCAATAAACTATTTTTGGAGAAATGTTTGTGACTTTCGTTCTATGTTTGCGCGCTCGAGTATTTTAATTTTGATTGAACCGATTTGATTAAACTTTATATATGTGTTTACCTTTAGTCATGTAATGCGTTGATCAACTTATGGGTTATGCAATATTTAAGAAAATATTGAACAAATTTTCTTTATATGTAAATTCTATACAATAATTTATGAGTTTTTGAGGAATTTAGGTAAGAGTAACTGTAATTTTGCTTTGGATCGAATTTACACTTTTGCACATGTGTAGGCAAATAACTGCGCTATATTCTTGAAGTTTCGTATTTTTAATTTCTGTTGTTTAAACTAATTATTATTTTTTTTCGGGACTATTTGCGCCCCGAAATTTTACTACAGGTTGATTGTGCATTTTTCTTTTAAAGATTAAATAAATAACTTTACCAGATATTTGACATCTTGTTGCTTTGAATTAATTTATTTTAAATATTTAGTTAATGTTGATTGAAGCAGAAAACTCTTATTTGTCTGTACTTATGAAAATTATTTATGATTTTTTTAGTAAAATGAATATTTTTAACTGGCAGGACGCATCATTATTGGAATAAAAAAATGTGAAAGTGGTACACGAATAAATTTCCATTAACTTCATTGAAATAGTTAGTGGTTTACGCCCCAGATACAAACACACTTAAATGCATTTTATCGAAATATAAGACGCTTTGTCATTTATGCATTGTAAAATATATAAATATGTACATGTAAAGACAATTTTGAAAACTTTAAAAGTACCTCAAATATTTTAATTCTAAATCGAAATTTATATTTCATAATACACTTTATAAAGTAATATGTTATTTCAGACACAAACCGAGGGGGTAAGGGTATTTATACAAATTAGAAGGAAAATTAGCATTTCTTTTCATACCTTTCATTTTTTTTTTGTTTTTTTTTTTTTATAATGGAATTTACTTAGATACATTATAGCACGGTTACATATAATCATTTATATATAAAGTAAATAATGTATATGTAGGTGTGTGTAAACATATTTAATGTAGGTGAAGACTTTTAGAATATTTTAAATTCACCTGAGTACACATTGGTGTTAAATTGTACATAACATAATTTCGAAATTAATATTTTGTACAAATGTAAAAATTTATTTTACTTCTCTGACAGTTTAAGGATGAATTCCCTCAAATAAAATTTATTTAGGTGTTAAAATTTAATGCTGTTAAGAGACGTATATATAGTGAGTCAGAGATGATAGTAGGTATTATGTATATGATTTGAATAGATGGAAGAGAGGTAATTGAAGTGCGGACTAAATTTTTTGTATGGTTAAAAATGGTTGTTTAAGTAATTTATGTTTCATCTCTTGGAAAATTTAAATAATATTTTACTTTTCTTTCAACATAAAGTATTCTTTGACAAATAAATTATAATATGGTGCGTGCGGTGGTGTACATAAATATTTGGTATATAATATATTGATACCTCAAATTGCATGAATGTAGAACTGCTGGTAAAAATTCTTGTTTTTTAATTTTAAATTCAATCTCTTTAAAATTGTTTCCCTTTTAACTTTGATGTGAAAGTTTATTTTTTTTTTTTTTGTATTTTTAATAACAAACAAATTTTGTAATTAAAGAAAAACAAAACAAAAGAAACACTAACAAATTGACTGAACTCATGAATTAGTATAGGCAGGCATCCCATTAAAAAAAGGGACAAAAAGTATTTTGTATTCAAGCCCCGTCTTCTATATAAAGCTTTGATTTCATAAAAATTTTAAAATAATTTTCCAAATGTTTTTTGTTTTTCCTTTCTTTTGGGTTAGCAATTTCTTATTTTGTCAATTCTGCTTTGACTTTTGCCTTTCTATCCACTTTAAATATTTGTGCAAATGTATTGGTATATAAACAAGATGGTTTTATTATTATATCAGTTATGTTTCTTTTTAAATGAATGAATAATGACAGCAGAACAAGGGGAAACCGAAGAGTATAGTTTTCTTTTTGTTTTTTTTTTGAAAAGTTCAAGGAATTATAAATTATGTCATGGTTATGAATAAATTTTTAAATAATTTAACAAAAATTAAAAAAGGTTGGTTGGTTAAACAGATTTGTACGTATAATTTTTATTTTTGCTTTTATGAAATGAATTAAATCTACTCTTCAATACCATATTATAAATGTGTATGGTTGTATGTTAGTGCGAGTGGCAATTTATATTATATAGTGTTGGTTGATTTATTATTTAATTTTTAATGAAATGAAAAAAAAAGGATAATATTTCTTGACTGGTTGGTGTAATAATAATTTTGATGAGATTGTAGAAAATCTGGGTATTTTAGTATTTTTGACAGTAATTTAATTTTATGTTGCATAATAATACTGCGATGTCAGCATTGCAGTTGTTATTACATGAACAGGATTATAACAAGTGAGAGAATTTTTTAATATACTACTTTAATAAGTAGTATATTAAATTTTAATGTACATATGTATGTGTGTATAAATGATAATCAATAAATTAAATAATTCTACTATGACATTAAAATATAATTAATGTTAAATGACGAATAAAAATTAATTGTCTTTACTGTTGCATTATGAAATTAATAAAAATGCAATTATATTGTCTAATGTATCATTCTTTTTTTTGATTTCATAATGTTTTTAATTGAAACTTACCGAATATTTCTGTCTATTTACATTATTTCGTAATATAAGGTGGATTACTTGTGATATTTTAAGAAAAATAGTTCTGTCGAAACTTTAGCCGAATAATTTTTGTATCGTGTGTGAAAAAGCATTTTTGAGTTCAAATTTCAGGGCTTAAAATGATCGGTTTTGTCCTGTTGTCTTCAGTTCAATTTCAGCATTGTATATTTCGTGAATTTAATGCTACAACTAGATAACTCGAAAATTTTATATGTTTAGATAACTAATCTATAGGCTTCATCGAATTCTCTTCCATCTGCGACTAATATCTAATTCTTAAACATCTGAAAATGATAACGCTAAAACTAGGTATCTGAATTATAATAAATTATTTGTTATTGATAAATCTTTAAAAGTCAATATCTCTAAACCAAAATCCAGAGGTCTCGTGGTTTTAGTCTTTCTGTTCAAACCCATTCCTCTAAATGTCGAGAGGCCTCAGTATTCACATTTTGCTATAAATGCGCCTATGTTTCATGCCAGTGTTGTCTATTTCATCACTTATTGCTGGTGACGCAATTTATTATTGCATTTATTTCATGCCCTTCAAACAATTCACAGTTTTTTATTTTATTCTATGAATGTCACCATGGTGTATAAAACATCCACTACTCACCACATTCCGAAGCTCCTGGTTCTGGAAAATTTTTTATTTGTTTGATTGGCACAACTGTAGAGCTGTGTACAATAATATGTTCTTTTAGGGTTTCTTATTTGAATATAAAACAAAACTTTGTTGTATGTTGTTAATTTTAAAACTACAACCTAGGAGCCTTCCTCCTTGTTTGTTTGACATCGAAAATCATGTGACAAAAATATCGTTTCATCGAGTTTCTTATTAAAGTATGCCGTATATATAACTGTTTGCATGGTAAGAAAAAATTTTTAAAAGCGATCAACATGATTGTAAGTCGATTTAGCTATGTGAGTCCACAAGTGTCAGAAATGATTTGAAAATAAATTTACCGGCAATTTGAATATGAGATGCGTTCAAGAGAGGATTTGGAAAAAGAGTTTATAAACGAGTTTTTCTTTGCAAATTATATCATGACTCATGAGTTTTCATAGTAGTTGTAATGCAAATTAAAAGGTTATTCAGTAAAAGTCGGTATTATAAGTAAAAGGCGCAAGTAAGAAAGAAATACTAAATAATTAGAATAAGTGCCCGAGTCAAGAAATTTGGTTCAAAATATGTATACACAAAATTGTTGCTTTAGAACTTCAAAAATAATTGTAACTTGGCCCATTCTTGTTCCGACCATTTTCGTTTATGGCAAAATAAATAAATATATAAATTTGAACTTTATAAATGTAGTAACAAAATAATAATAAACAAAATAATCTTAACAAAAATGCCTAATATTTCTATCATTAAAAATAAATTTCTTTTTATTACAGGTGGCGAATGCCAATATCACTTTTAAATTATTTCTTAAACAGAAATGATTTCAAATGTGGTATTACAACAAATATGTAAGTTTATGTACAGTAAGCATGTAAATAAATTCTCTATCTATAGAATAATGTAAATTTTATTATTTAATTTTTTAATATCTTATTATTTGAAAAACAAAAATGTCAATTTTGTAATATTACAAATTTTTTAAAAATTTCAGAAAACATTAAATTTTACTAATGTGTTCATTTTATATATTTTTTTTAAACCCACATACAAATTATGATTATTATGTTATAATATTTTTGCCTAGGTATAGCAATTATTTTATTAGGAGCTTTTCCAAAAATTTCATATGCTTCAAATGGTTATCGTGTGCCAACTTTCATACAAGAACCACCAACACGTTTATTATTTAGCAATGATAGCGGAACACAAGTATCATGTTCAGCCCATGGAAATCCTCCACCAATTGTTACTTGGATAATGAAGGATGGTGCTCTAGCTACACCAGTGCCTGGTCTGAGGTAATGAAAATTATTTCTTTTATAAGTTTGTTTTTGTTTTTTCCCCATTCTAAATTTTGTTTTCACATTTTTATAAAAATATAAAATAATTTTGTTTTTTGTTTTATTAAATTTTCTTTTTCTTTTTGTAGTACTTTGTTAGGTAAAAATTGTCATGACAATGGAAATTATTAGATATAATATTTTGAATTGCATACTTATAGGCATTTTAATGTATAAATCAATGTGATACTAGAATTGAAAACAAAAAATAAAAGAAAACAAGAAAGTTGTTTAAGATGATAAGAAGATTGTACTTTAAAAATTTTTGAATGTTAAAAAGGAAGGAGGGCGAAAATGTTTCAATGTGTTTTTTAAGGATAAGAGTTTTTTTTAAATAAATTTTATTTTATTTTTTGGGTGTATGAGAAACAAATGGTTAAAGGTAAAAGTTTATTCCAAGAAAAATCATAATTTCAAGCTAGATTTAGTCTTTTTTTTCTATTAGAAATTTATATTAAGGATGGAAATTAGACAAAAAATAGGAAAAACAAAAGCAACAAAAAATTAAGAAAAGTTAAAAGAAAACAGCGAAGTTTCATTGTTTCCTTTTTTTCACGAAAAATTAAGCAAAAACTTTCCTTCTACATTTAAATAATATGAGAGTATTGGAAAATGGAGTACGGGTGAGAAAAACAAACGCAAATCCTTCATTGTATTCCTCAAGGGAAATCGTGTTCTTTTATTTGACAGTTAATATGCTTTTGGCAAAGATGAGGAAAAAAAAATGTCATCAAAACGATTTCAAAGGAATTAATGAAACAACAATAATATCAGAAAAAAAATATAGAAATTTTTCTTTTTATTCTTTAAAAAAAAAACAAAAGAGGATCTAAATTTTTATGTCTAAATATGTAAATTGTACAAATAGAAAAGGAAAGGGCTGTGAGATAAAATTGTAGTAGAGATATCTTTGCAATATTTTTTTTTCTTTTATACCTTGTGTTTGTCATTAAAAAGATTTTCTTTTTATTTGTTTTCTTGTTTTTTTTATTTTTCATTCCAAACTAAGAAAAAATGTTGGAATCTAGACTGATAATAATTGTATTCTAGGAAAACCATAATTAAAATAAAGGCGAAGAAAAAATACGAATGTAAGGTTTCAAGAGAAAATTTCAATATAAAATTAATGTTATACAAAATAAAGTTTGTATTACAAACAATTTGCCATTCTTAAAGCCCTTAAAATGATTGGCGAAGTGAATGACATTTATCTGGGGAGTATTGGTACTATAATTGGTGAACTCGGCTTAATATTAAATGAATTAGCTGCCGTAACTGTGGAATCAAACTTCTGCGAGACAAACTTTTCGAATTACAGTACAGTATTTTGATAAAACGAGCTACATGTTTTAAAGTTAGGATAATATAATTTGCGTTGTCTTCAAGAAGCAAAACTTGGTGATGCGACGAATTAAATGATGATTTGGAATTTTGCTGAATTCACCAAGATAATTCGATTTGATGACAATTCAGCTTCGTCGATTTTGATAGGACGGGCCTAAGTATAGTGTTGTACGAAATAACAGAACTAATTAATTTTTCTTTGCTCAATTTACCCGACTACTAATTTCGATTTCATCGCATTTGCCGTCGTTGAAAAATTTCCGGTACTAGAATATTTAAACCAAATTTTGTCTTATTCCTTCATATTTAACTAAAATAATGTAGAAGATGTAGTAGAAGAGATTCCTTATATAAAATATCTGCAAGTTCTTGATTATTATTATCAAATATTTTTGATTTGCCGAGTTCTATAGGAAACTCATGGAACAAATGTTAAGTTACGCTGAATGAATCCTTATTGATTATCGCATAACATTCACTTATACCAATTGCAAACGTTATGCTTTCAGTGCTATCGTATTTTTAAACTTTCTTAGTCAATATTTTCAAGTTCTTTTTATTGGTTTTAGTCACTTGAATTAAAATAAGCAGTTGATTTTTTAATTCATTTTTTATGTAAATTTTTTTATGTAAAATTTATTTTGAATTCATTCAAATGTTTTCCCATAATTGGAACTCACGCAATATACGTATTTTGTTCTAATTTCGCTCTTTAATTAATTAAGAGGAACACAAAGAGAACTCCACTCTATTTTATATATTTTATACAAATTACCGAAGTACCTTGAAAAAAAAATATAATTTGAAACTTATCCAAAAAATGACGTAGAAATGTCCGAATTTTAATTGTTTGAAATTTGATTGAAAACTGTTTTTTCCATTTTAATTTTTGAATTTCAATTCAAAAGGTAAAAAAAAATACGAATTATATCCTGAACAAGGTGACCTCGAGCTAGTTCTCTTTGTTATTATTATATTTTATTATTTGATGGTTTCGCTGATGCCTTCATTAAGCAAATAAAAAAGAATGAAAAGAAAAAAGGTTTCTCATGAAAAAAATTTTTTAAATGTGGAAAACTAAAAGTGAAAGTGTCGCATTGCGTTTCAATTGATTTATGATTAATGAATTAATTTGTAAAAAAAATTGACAACGTCATAAAAACTTTTGAAAGTTTCAAATTTAGAATGATTTGCTCTTCTAAGCAATGTCAATTTTTTAATGAAAATTTGAAAAAAAATAAAATTTGTAAACTTAAATTTTAATACGTTCCTTTGATAAGTGATAAATACTTGGTAGGTCGTGTTTGATTTAAGATAGGTATAGGAGTTAGGAAAAGCTTAAGCTTCTATACCGAATTAATCTAACAAGCTGAAATTCGTGAGCTCACGGTTTTTCTATATTAAACATTTTAATATAATACGAGTGTAACTCAACAAAATTTATGTCAGACATACTCGTATGCCACTGAATTTTTTCTAATTAATACAGCCTGCCCCCCAATTCTTATTTTAAGATAAAAGTTCACAGTAATGCTTTGCTATTACTTGTGGTTTAGTATATTGTGCTTTGCCTTAAAATAGTTTTCAAATTTTAAAAAAATATTTTAAATTGTTTAGTGATGAATGGTAAAAATAATTTTCTACCAGGCTTAATGTCATAATTCCTGGTTCCTGGGCTTTTTGAAGGTTCTTTTATAACCCAAATTTATTTAGAAATTCAATGTTTCAAACTGATTAAGCCCTAAGCATTCAAATATTTTTGAATTGATTTTCATTACACGTTCACTTTGGCAAAATTACGCAATAAGGCGAAAAAATTTCAAAATTACATTTCTTCATCAAACAAAATATAAAAGCATATTTGTTTTAAATTTTTAACCCTTAAAGGAAGAAAGTAAGTATCAAAAAAGTAAAATAAAACAATAGAATAAAAAATCAAACCGCTGAAATGCTTTTCTATTTTATTCACCCTAGTAAAATTGCATTGCATTCTATATTATGCCGGCGGTCTTTAAATCAATTTTCTGAATAGAAATTAAAAAATAAATAAAACCATAATATTATAAAGAAAAATATTAAAAAGAACTGAAGAATATTGCATTGGAAACATAATTTCATTATGACAATTTTGTTATACGAGTATAATAGAAAATCATTTTTAGAAGAGAGAGAGAACTTTGTTGGTGAGTTTTCAACCCGGGATATGGTGTTGAATTATTAAAAAAATCACATAGTCGCCTTGACCTCATAAAACTTAAAATATAAAACAAAAAAAAAATTATTTTTAAAAAAATTATCATTCATTTTAGTCCTTCTTACAATTCCCGTTATTTTTATGATTTTTAGTGTTGGTAATGGTACGATGCTGATATGGGAGAATATTGCCGTCGTCACTACTTTTTATATTATTGTTGTTCATTGGTTTTTATTTTTTCACCTTAAGCGTTTAACCCAGAAAATTTTTTTACTACAATTTTGCTGCATTTTCATACAAAAGAAAAATATAAAACAAAAATAAAGAAAAAAAGGCAAAATATGAAAAATGTAGGAATAAACGAATAAACAAAGTTAAATTTGAAAAAAAAATCCTTGCTTTGTTTTGTTCCTTAACATTTTTAGTTTTAGTTTAAACTAAAAATAACAGTTAAAAGTGGAACAAAGTGCAATATCAATTGTAATTCTTACCATTCTTACTAATAATTTTTTGTAATATAATTGTATTGTGTGAAAAATTTTTTATAGTTAAGCAAGATTCGTACTTTCAGCATTGCACGAATTGTAAAATTGTGGAAGAAAATTATCGGGGTTTTCCTAATTAGGAAAAATTGTAAAATTTTAGAATAATTTCATGGTTGGGTTCCTTATAGTTGGATTACATAATATATCTTTGTAAATTGAATTTTTTGTAGCTACGTGAAGTTTGGAATATTTCTTTAAATAATATTTTGAGTTCCGAATTAATGCAATTCAAGATTACGGATAGACCTGATCATATAATCATGTAAATGGTTCGACTTTTATCAAATTTCAGCGTTATTGATTTGTATGCCTTTGTATATGATGTAATAAATATATTAAAGGTTTTAATTTTAATTATGAAAAACTTAGTGACAAACAAGATGCTATTTTTTATTTGGTTCAACTTTTCAATTTCATCCAATATCTCTTTAATATTTTGGGTTTAATGTCAATTAAATTTGATCAGGGAATGCGTCCACCATGACTGTAATAAATAAATAAACTTATTTTACCATTTATAAGCAAGTGTTAGCCTTAATTATGATATTTTCGAATTTGTATGAACAACACGATTGATAAGAAAGCAATTAATAAAAAATTTGTTTATACTTCGGTCCCAGCAAAGTATGGATTAAGAGCGAAATACTGGATAAAAGAAAGATCTTAAATTAATCTAATATATGTGGTTCTCTATCTTTTCTATGTTTCTTATTAAAAACTCATTACGGCACAATTTAATATGTGATCTAAAGTAATTTAACAAATTTTCAAATTGCGTAAGTAAGTCATAAGTAAACTTTAGGCCTAAAAGTAAATGGTCACAGTGTTACCATATTGAATAATCAAGTAAATTTTCAAATCTATTATACTTATATTGCACGTAAAATTGAATATTATGAGATACACAGACACAAAATAAAATGTCAAATTAATTTTCAATCAGCAAGTGTTTTAAATGTTGCTAAATTTAAATTTTATCAAATAATTTTAACTTTTGATAATTTTAAGTTTTGACTACGCCAGATTTCTTTAAATAATAATTATTTTGTGTTACTAATTTCATTTAAACAAAAATATGTTAAATGTTTATTGTATGTTTCGAGTAATTTAAAAAAGCAAAAAGTTTCCATTTTTGTGAAAAATGCTAAAAATTTTTATTGTTTTCGCAATTTTTTATTTAACCTATTTTGCGTACTCATGAATGTATTGTAGAATTTTATATGAAAGAACTGATGACAAAATGCCTAACAAAATGAGAAAGAAAAAATAGCACTATTTTATATACAGTTATAATTTATTGAATATTGTAGTTTCAACACAACTCAATTTTTATTCTTATAATTTTCTGTTTATTTTAAATGTAGACAAACACCCGGAAACGGAACGTTATATTTTCCACCATTTCTTGCTCAATATTTTCGTGCGGATGTACATGAAGCAACATACAGATGCAAAGCTAGTAATGAAGCTGGAACAATTTTAAGTAGAAATGTTAGAGTTCAAGCAGGTAACGTATTGTTAAAGTATTTCTATAGTAAATTGAATAGGTTTATTTACATAAATGAATGGATACATTGATTCTAAAAGCAAGACAACATATTTGAATTCTCGGTTGTTTGTTATTTATGTAAGGAGAACAAGAATGTTGGGAATGTTATTTTTACTTTTTGATTGCTGTTTTTTTCTTAAAATATTAATTTACGAAATTTGGTAATTCACGTAAATGCAAGGATAAATAAGCTCAAATGACATTTTTCATGTACTTATGAACGTTTATATTGCATGGTTGTAAGTATATCGAAAAGTTTTTACATGCTTTTTCAATCAGTTTTGAAAACAAGAAAAAAAAATCTGATGTGGTCAGCACATAACCGACCGCATTGTGTATTATCTAGTTAAATGAAAGTGTTACAGAATATTATAAAAATGTCTGTTAAATTTTTCTTTAAAATTTTTAGGACATTAGTAAGCTTATAGTTAACATACCTAGAAAAATGTAAATTTGGCTCTTAGTAGGGTTTCGCTTTGTGCTACCCGAATTCCCTGTAATGCTCGCTAGTTAGTTTCGGTAACAACCAGAACTCAAATATCAAATTTCAAGAAATTTCAACAATTCGTTCCGTAGATATGATGAAAAATGTAAAATCGGCCCGCAGATCAGTTTTCGAGTCCTGATCTTTCCAAAAAATTTACATGTTCATTGTTTTAATATGAGGAATTCAAATAGTAAATTTCAATGCAATCGGTTGATTATTTCTCTTTATATACACAAAAATGTACATTTGGTCCGTAGTAAACGTCTAGTTGCCGATGCTTGATTTGTTCCAAAAGCTAGGAATTTTCACGGACGGTCGAGCAAAGCTCATATATGAAATTTCAAATAAATCGGTTGAATATTTTATTCAAAATGGTGAAAAATGTAAAATTGGCCCGCAAATCAATTTTCGAGCCCAGATCTTTCCAAAAAATTTATATGTTCATTTGTTTTAATACGAGGAATTCATATATTAAATTTCAATGAAATCGGTTGATTATGTCTCTTTATATACACAAAAATGTACATTTGGCCCGTAGTAAACGTCTAGTTGCCGATGCCTGTGTTTTTCTAAAACATAGGAATTTTCGCGGACGGTCGAGCTGAGCTTATATATAAAATTTCAAATAAATCGGTTGAATATTTTCTTTAAAATGTTTAAAAATGTAAAACAGGCCCGCTAAAAAGTGCAGTTCCCGAGGCCTGATATATACCAAAAGTTGATCAATCCGTGCCATGGTGGAAATAAACTTACATATAAAATTTCATCAAAATCGGTTCAGCCGAACTTGAGATACACGCGTGCACACACAGACCGACAGACCGACAGGTTGCTAAAAATAGTTTATTTACACTTCCCTACTATGGAGAAGTACGTTCCCTCCGAAAACTCGATATGCAAAATTTGTTGACATCACATAACCTACCTATTGTTTACACAATACGGTCGGTAATAGAGTTGACCGTGCTAAATCTGTGATTCCGGTACGAATGTTTTAACCGTTATAACTTATATGGGTCTAATGCAGTTTATTTTTGTATGGCAGTTGTTGTTTAGCTAATTAACTTGTACATCCACAATCACAATAACAACTGTTTTACTAGAATATTGGTCCTATCATATCACTCATTTATGTAAAACTCGAATCTCTTCACCTTATAGCTATGAAATTGCAAGACTTCTAGAACCACAAAAAATTTTAATGGAATCATTAGCCCTGTTGCTTGCTTTAATTATGGGAAATTTAATAGTGTGACAGTTTGCAGTCGCGAAATATGATTGAATTAATTTTAGAGAGTTGTGAAACAGTTACTCGAACCATTACTTTGAATGAAACAAAATTAAATAGAGTTCGTGCGGGAAAAAATCTTAGTAACTAATGAAAATTGTTCTGCTTGCCTAAAAGTATGCAATCTAAATTTGAAAATCGTTTCACATATTCTTCCCATTTATTTCATTTAATAATTAATATGTAGGCGGTAAAAGTTAATTAAAAGTCGTCTTTGTCATTTTCTAATTAACATAATTGAAAAGTCATGTTTTACCCGTTGACATATCTAATTAAAAATTATTTGGAATTCTGATTGGCTAAAATTTATGATTTTTTATTTTATTATTATGCTGCAGAAGCAAAGTTATTCATAAAAACCCAATTTGTTAATAAACTTTAATTATTAATGTTCTCTTTTTATGGAAGTTCAAAAATTTTTCCATAAAACTCAATTATTAATTCAAGTTTAAAAACTATATTTCCGGAATTCTGATATTTGCGACGCCTTACACGTAGAACAATCACAGTATTGTGAAAATGAACGTCATTATTTTTCAGTATTTATTAAAGGTTTGCAAAAGTACAAAATACACACTTGAATATTAAATTTTTTTTACATGTCCATATTGTTTAGCTTTAAGTCCGGATATGAAATAGCAAACCCTATTTTATGATGTGTTGAAGTGAAACAAAAAATAAATGATAAAAAGAAAATAAATATTGAAAAATGTTTGTAACCAGCGAATTTTTCTCTTCCGATTTTTATTCTGATTTCCTTTATTATAGGCACTTGCATTTCAATGTACTTAAAAATATAAAAATGAGAATCCGTGGATGTAACTTTTAGGTAGTAATGTAAAAAGGAAGAAAATTGTTACTCTAAAATGAGAAGGTTTAATGGTAATTATAGATAGTTGCCGGAAAATAGTTAAGTGCGTATACAGTTATATTTTTTTAATTAAATAACGAGTTGGTTGTTTTTAATGGAACAAAAAAAAATGTGATGCGGCCAGCAAATGAGAGACCACGTCACATATTTTCTTTTATTCACTTATTCTAATAAAGGCAATGTCTTGTGTTAACTGAATTTCAATATATTTGGAACTCCTATGCTTTTGTAGAAGATATCTGGCTCTTCATTGAAGTTCTTTTCATATAACTTTATTTTCATGACAAGTTTATTGCCAACAGGCTTAAAGTATGAAAATTAGAAGAAAATTTTATGAAAATAAATTATTAAATGTAAAATTATACCTTAATAAAGTTTTAAGAAGTTGGAACAGATGTGCCTAAAGATCGGTCATTCTGAATTAACCATGTTGAACAATGAGATCATGTTAACTTTCAAAAGTGAGTAAGAAACCAAACACAAATTTTTATCGAAAACAATTCAATTAAAATTGAGACACACGAAGACAGTCTATATTAACGTTTTTTCCATGACAAAGTAAAATTTTGTTCGTTGAAAACTTGGCTTGTGAAATTTTATACTATGACAATACCCCAATTTATTACATTCGTCGCGATCGGTTAAAAGATAAACAGAGAAAATTTTTATGAATTGATGTGCGAAAATCATTATTTTATGTTTACGATGACAAATTACTAAAATGGGGCAACGGTTGTTCTATATGGTTAATGATAAAATTGAAATGTGAATGAGAAATATAATCTCATCTGCAATATTGTTAATCGTTTTTAATTTTTGATTAATATAGAAAAATGTATTTGTTAAAGAAAGCAAGAAGCAGCTGCAAGCAGATCAACTAAAAGTTGTCTATTACTGTAAGCATAATTTTTCGTAAACTTCGTGCACTTGATATTCTAAAGATGATTCAATTTTTTTACAAAATTTTCTGCACCTACTTGTGTTCTCGAATTGTCAGTACCTTTTTAGCACTTTTCCAAAAAAATTTTGAAAAAAGTGCTTATTAGTTTCACTCTGTCCGTCCGTCCGTCCGTCCGTCCGTCCGTCCGTCCGTCCGTCTGTCCGTGTGTCTGTTTACAAAACTTCTACACCCTTGAAGATAGAAAGCTGAAATTTTGTACGTACATAGGTCTTTATTAGAAACTTATTTCCGTAGAACCAAATTTTTACCTATCTCCCCCCCCCTCTAAAAGTTATACCCCCCCAAAACCCTAAAAATGGTCTTTTTTAATTACTTGTTGCAATGAAACCATAAGCATTTTTGAAATTTTGCAAACGCATAAAGGCAGCGGCTTGCTTCCCCTAGCGCGATACACTATAGTTAAACTTTAGAAAAACAAAATGGCCGTTCAAATTTACCGTTATCTAAAGTCTTTTTTTTCCAAATTTTTGATTTCATTTTTCTTCTACACCCCAGCCTGTAGAAGCTTGAAATTTTAGGGGCTTATAGACATTAACAAATAGTTCATTTCGTTAGAAGAAAATTTTTTTCCATCTCCACCCCCTCTCAAGTTATCGCCTCTTGAAATTTGTAAAATTTGAATTTTTGGCGCCTTATATTTCCGAAACCGCAAACGTTTTCAAATTTCTATAAACACGAAAAGCTAACGGTAAATTATATAACATTAAAAAATATAATTATTTTTCTTAACTCACACAATTAATCCTTAAAATCGAGCATTATGTTAACCCCACTTTATATTAATTTTTGCTTTATTTCAAAGACTGCATGAATGCATCATCCTAAATATATGCAATCCTAGAAATAGTTAAATATGAATGAAAATAATTTTAATAGCTTGATAGGTATACACAGACTGTATTTAAAAGCAGAATTTTCACTTGTTGAAGGGAAAAGTGCTACAATACAAACCATTGGTTTGACCCAACTTTATTATTTAAAATGATAATATCCAATGGCATCGCCTTCTCTTTTTCATATAATTTTCATTGAGAACATCTTGTAAAATAAAATTAATTTGGGTATTAAAAGATATCCATTTCCATGTTTCCGCCTTTTTAGAACATCTGAACATTATTTCCAATTTCCTAAATTTTTAGTGATTGGTCGAAAGATCTGGGATGATAATTGCCTTGAAAACCTGCATAATACAAAATATATCAATAATTTTTAGCATTGTTGTCGCTTACAATTTGTAATTCTTACCGCCCACAGAAATTTTAATTTTAATGGTCTTTCTCAGGTGATTTCGAACGAATTGTTTTTTCCAATATACTTATATGCTTAAGAATCACTATTATTCTCACTTTGATGTTGTTAAAAGGAAATACCTTACTTTTATTAAAAAATATTTTTGAAATTACATAACGTACATTTATACATTATATGAACGTTATGTAAGTGTATTATGTACATTGCATCCCTACACATTATACATGGCATTGTTATATATTTTATTGTTTTACAGTTATACGTAGAAATTTTCATGTCCGAGTCGATAACACGGAAGTATACATGGGTAATTCAGCATTGTTGAGGTGTGTTGTACCAGAGTACGTTAAACAATATGTCACAGTATCGAGTTGGTATAAAGGAGATGAAGTTCTATTACCTGATTTATCAGATATTGGTAAGTGATTTATATATGTACATACAAATATCGTATATAATGTGATAAAATAGTAGATAAAATTTATATGGAAAATAATAAATTTTAAATAAAATATTTATGTATAGTTTTTGATACTTCTATCCTTCCGAACACAGTGGAAAACAAAAGAAAAAGAAAGAGAGAAAAAGAAAAAAGTTTTTCCCGGAAATTAGTTCGATTACTGCAAGTTGATTGTGCTTCATATATACAATGTTCTAAAGATACAAAATATTGCTGTTTATTGATTGAATTGCATTAAATTTTGTGTTGTTTTATTTTACTCTTATATTGATTGCCTTTAAAATTAAATAAATGAATGAAGGTAGTCATGTCCTTCGTAACAAATTATATTTTAAAATTAAATTTTGGAGCTGGAACTTTTCTTTTTAAAGTAAATAATGTTGTGTAATTTCTTATAATTTGAAGACTTTTAGTTCTTTTCGCTTAACTTTTCTTTTATAATGAAGAAAAAAATTCGAGTTTATTTAAATTTCAGTGAAATCGTGTATTTCATAATGAGATTGATTTCAAACAGTTTCGGAATTTGAGCTCACGTCACTTATAATTTTCATAATTCATGAATTAAGAAACAATAATTAAATAAAGTTTTGCAGCTCCTATTTGAAGAACACAGCATGGTTAGCATTCACGAGGCCCTGTAATTTTATTAAAGTCAAATTTTAGAAAATTTTGTGTGTATAATTATTGGATTATATTTTTGGGCTGCATTTTGATACCGTTTTGAAAAAATTTGCTTTATAATCTCAAAAATTTAAAAAGAATAAGATGTACCAACCAATCAACCATCATTATCAATTTATAAATAGTAGTTTCAAGTAGAATTACAAAAATATATTGTAATCTTTCAGAAACAAAATAAAATTTTTTAAAGAATATTTTCCTGGATGTGATTAAAAAATCTCCCATACCACTCAAAGTTTCTTGGAAATGTTCGATAAAGTTATTGAATGAATATCAAACATAGAGAAACTATTTGACTAATTAGTGATGAAATGAGGGTATATCTGCTCATTAATTATTGAGATACTGAAGAACTACACAGTAAATTTAAAAGAATATTTGCTGTTGTAACCTTATAAATGCATTTTCGAAATGTATTACAATCTTACGAGTCCTCTTATAACGCTAAGAAATAGAAGCGTCTATATTTATTTTACAAGTTTTTCGGCCACACGTATGTATTTTTTCTCAATGATGAATTCTGAGTTGTTTTAATAGTATGAAGTCCGAGTTGTTCAGACAAATACTGTTCATCTGTTTCATTTATAATTCAAAAATGCAGTAAGTTAAGCATATAAGGTTTTAATGAAATCAAGCAAAAATTGCTAAAGAGCAGTTGATTTCAAATTCGAATAATATGTTCACTTCAAAAGTTATAGTAGTTCTTATAGTAGCTGCCGAGTAACTTTGCGAAATGGTTTACAACAAGACGACATCAGTTTATGGTAGCTTCTTTTATCAGGTTATGGTAGCAAAAATATTTTAATTTTATTTCAAATTTCACACGATCAAATTTAGTTGCTGAGTCTCTATTCTAAAATTTGGATAGCAAGGAATAAAAGTTTTTACTGGCATAAAAATAATCAGCTATCGCAATATAACTTTTAAGAAACATTTGTAGTGTTACAAATTTGACACGACAAGCTCTACCTTTTCTTACAATTACTTTAATTTTTGATTTTCTCATTTTTTCTCAAAATATTAACTGATACTGTCATCTTAAAAGAAAATTGATGAATGGTGACTAAAATACGAAAAAAATTTCTTATCCGCAAATTGTACAATTAACATATTACACGTGCTGATTTTCTTCTTAATCGGCACATAAAAAGTCAGATAAACGATTGTGCTCCGATTTAGTTTCCAAATATATGAAGAGAACAAATTGATAATTTCAGTAAATCTGTTCAATTGTAACTTTTAAAGAATGTAAAAAATTAATTTTAATGCACTTATGTATTCAGGCAGCACTCATAAAATGTAATGTACTACATTTTGTATGTTATTTCTTAATTTTTCACTAAATCCACTAAATAAAAATTTCATAAACTTTTCAAAATTTAGGAGTGTAAAATAAAAACACGTATTAATAATTTTCTATTAGATCTATTTTCATTATATAATGTACGTATACCTGTACAATAACATGTGCAAAAGAAAACAATAAAAGCAAATGAAAAACAATCTGTGAAAGCAGGAAAATTGTGTGAAAAAGGTCCTGAAACTATACGTACCCATAAATTTTTAATGTTTTTTCAAATATTTTTGTCTTTGTTTTTGTTCTTTTTTTTAACATTTTACACTTCTTTTCTTTTTGTTTTCCTCTTTCATTTTTATGATAAAGCTGGAAGGTATGTTGTATTATCATCGTCAGGAGATTTGTACATTCGTTCAGTACGTTCAGAAGATGCTATAGTTAAATTTTCCTGCCTTACAACGAATACGTTAAGTGGGGAGAGACAACGAAGTGATTCAGTATCATTGACTTTTAAAGGTGAGAATTTTATTGTTATTTTCTTTGTTTTCTTTTTCTCTATATAAATATTTATAAATAAGTATTAGTATTAACTGCAAAAAAAAAAACAAATATTATAATAAAGGCAAGAAGAGTAAAAACAATAACAATAGCAGTAATAATGGTTAAAAGAACCTAACAGGTCTCCGTTTTGTTATTATAGCACAATTTTTTTTATTTTTATATATTAGAGAGAATGAAACAGAAACAACAAAAGAAATGTGTATAAAATTGTTTACGCAATATTGTGTTACTATACAATACTATACATTAATAAAGGATAAAACAAGGATAATGTTTGCACGTATATAAATGCTTGTAGACAGGTGTTTTTTATTATTATAATATTACGTATAGTTAGTTTGTTTTTGTTTTGAAATACAGGGTGCCAAATAGCCGATTCGAAAACTTCGAAATGAAACCATTATTATATCGTTTGTCTTTAACGTTTTTCTTAACAGTTTTTGTAGCGATTTTATGAATAAATTTGTAATGTCAAATTTTGTAACATAGCATACAAAAGTGTAATTATATTTTAGAGTTTTCAACTTTTTGAAGACTCTTTTTGAACTTGTTGTTATAATGCAATAGTTTTTGCTTTTAGCGATTTTAAAAACAATGAGAAAAAGTACAGTTTACCGTGCCAACTCTGTGATACCCGTACGAATTTGTTATCCTATATGTGCGAATAAATTTGTCATAGCTTGCTGTGGGACATACTTTAAGTTGCTGTATTACCATATTAATTTATCCAAAATTTCAGTACTGTGTTTTCAATATTTTCTAAGATATGGCCAAACTGCCATTGAAGTTGTATGGCTGCTATCAGAAAGAGCCAAGCAATTTCATCGACTTTTATCAAACACATTGCCTCTACTAATATATTTACTTGCACGAAATTTCAATGTTTTATAGTTTCTGAGATACAGTCAAATAACTTTTGAAGTTATATGGAAGGTACCAGAAGGAGCCAAATAATTTCAACGACTTTTATGAGACACACTGGCCCTACTAATATATTCGTTTGTGCGAAATTTCAATACCACAACTTTTATAGTTTCTGAGATATAGCCAAATAAATTTTGAAGTTGTATGGCAGCTACCCGAACTAGTACCCTGATCATATCCAATTTAAATAGGATTCTGACATTCACTATTATAAATCATTTGTGAAAATTTGGTGAACTTAGCCCAATTAGTTTTTGAGTTATCGTTATGACGGACGGACAGATGAAAAGACAAAGTTAAATCGACTCAGAATTCGATGCTGATCAAAAGCATACGCTTGAGTCTATATCGCAGACCATTGTTTCTCAGCTTCACAAACGGTAAGGCAAATTTAGTATATCCTTCGGACATACGTTCGTACGAGAGAAAACTTATTGGAAAAATAAAATTACAAAAACAGAATTCTCTGATTTGAAAGTGAATAAAAAAGCGAGGCACACGATCGGGCTTTAAGTGTACATTTAATAATTAAAGAACGGATATTGAACTACAATTATTAAATATTATGAGTAGCCATGAATATCATTGGTGAGAAAGGTAGGAAACCATATGTGTGGAGGTTATTTGTACATAAACTTTTTCTTTTGTTTTATTTTACCTAATTGAATATTTTTTCTATTCTCATTTTTTGGCAGTAATGCCGAAACCGCACATATATTAATTAAATTCCGCCAACATAAAAATTAGATATTATTGTCCATTCATTGTGAATTTCCAGGACAATGCTCTGCTTTACAAACTATTGTTTTAACCCGAGTTTTCTTATCAATTAGTATAGGGGACTTGAGCATTGCTCTCCTATAACTCTTTGAGATTTCAAATTAAAAACTCGCTTTCGGTATTGCACCCTGTACTTACTTACACTTACCAGTTTTAAAACATTATATACAAAATAACAATAAGGTATGATAAAAACAAAAATCTGTTATTTTATTTTGTTTCTGTTTTCATTGGGAAAGGTACGACAGGTTTCCCTTATAAAACTTTTCTTTTTTTTTTGTAATTTTTTTTTATTTACCTTTTACGGGTGAATAAAGTTATGACGAGTTTGTTATTTTGTAGACTATATAGGTACTGTCTAGTAATTAATATAATGATGCAATCATATTGTGTTTGGAAAAAAAAAAACAAAAGTTTTCGCTAGCAAACATTGAATAAAAAACATGCAATACAATATTTTAATATAGAGAAAAATAAAATAAAGGAAGAAAACCAGATAATGTGTGTGTATGTTGTTTTATACGAGTAATAAACATAAGTTAAGAACAAGAAGAAAACAGTAAAAACAAAAAAAAAAATTAAAAGGAAGTTTTAAGGATTCATTCATTAACAATAACTTCGGGTTAAAATATCATTCACCTATACAAAAATCATGTCTTTAATCATCATAATCATCAGCATTAACATTTTGTTTCTATGTTTTTGCTTAATAGCTGGAAGCCATATAATAAATTTAATTTGGATATTGATTAACAAATTTCAAATGATTCTTAAAATATTTTAGAGTTAAATATGAAATTTTTTAAAAATATTTAAGATTAAAGATAAGAAAAGGCGAATTTGTGTAAATTGAAGAAAAAAAAATTAATCACAAGAAAAAGCAGAAAATGAACTGTGAAAAATGTGTTGAAAAGTTGAAAAGGCTAAAAAATTTTCTTTGAGTTAATAAAGTTTCTTTTTGTTATTCTTGGATGCGATTATGAGAAAAGTTGCTTTTTAAATTAAATAAAATATTTTTTATCATTATTTTATTTTTCTTTTTGATGAAAAAGAACCAATAGGATAGATAAACCCTTTGAAATTCCAAGTGAAATTTTTTGAAGTGGAAAACTTTTTCCTTTTTATTAAAGATTAAAATTAAACAAAAAGGGTATACAAAATAGATACCTAATTAAGCAGCTTGAAAAAGCCGAAAATTTTATTTATGGTTAATTTTAAATCACATTAGAATAGTATTTGATCAATAATTTACCGACTATCTACACCAAAATATATTTTGGCACGAAATTTTTAAGAAAGGATTTTAATTCATGGGAAATTTTTAAGAATTTGCTTATAAAGGGTTTAAAAAAGTCAACATTTTTGTGTGTTGCTTTGATTTTTAAAACAACATTTTTCATATCAGAATTTTTAATTATACACAGTATTGAATACACACAGCAGCTTGTTTTGATATACTGCTCCTAATACAGCAATATTGTACTAATTCAGAATAATAATCCAAATATTTTTTTCATAGAATTTTTTAGCACGTTTCAAAAAAAGTTGAAATTTTAAAGAATTTTTTATTGTTTAATAATTATTTTAACTTCAATTCATCCACCGTTCTTTGTACTATCATTAGAATTTAGTGATAAAGTTCAGTGATTAAAGCTCTTGCAAAATATGCGTAAACAATAAATGTTTATGCATTTAACAATAAAATATTTACTAAGCTATTAAAATGCTTGTGATATAGCGAAAATAAGGCAATATCGAGTTTTCGCGAGTTGTCAAAATGATTGTCCTTTTTTTTAACATATACATATGCAATCAAAACTAATTTTTGATGTTCTAAGAGGGAAAATTTTTTAATCCTTTTATTTAATAATGAATCCTAAGAGTTTCCTTAAGTGCAAATGCTTAAGGAAATAAGAATAGGAAAATTAAAAATAATTTTCATAAAAATATTATGTAGATTTTACATACATATAACAGTTTTCCGGAACAAATGCGGACGTTTACACAATTATGCATATTTTATTTAATAACAATACTTGAGAAAATACAAAAGAAATTATTTAAAAACAAAAATAAAAAATAAATCTAAATTAATGCGGAAATGAAGGAAGAAAAAATTTATAATTATTTTTTGTCTTTATTTTTTAGAGTTGGGAAAAAATATGGCACCACGCACAACACAAAAACCAGTAACAGAAATAATTGTGGAACGCGGAAATGATGTTCATCTACCCTGTAATATACAAGGAAATCCTTTACCAGTTTTCACGTAAGTATTCAAGTACATATATACAATATATTCGTATTTTTGTGATCTTATTTAGAGGATGCCTTATTTGTATATGTAATTTTTTAAAAAACAAAAAGTATGTGTGATGAACAGAAATATTCACATATGCATACGAAAAAGTAAGACGTGAACCGTCTAAAAATTGTATAAAGTCAAAAAAAATCTGATGTGATCAGCACATAACCGACTGCATTGACTGCATAGTTTAGCGAAAGTGTTAAACAAAAAATTGTGAAAGCGCCTTTTGAACAGTTTCATTCAATTTTATGGATGTTAGCACATTTTTAGTTAAAATACCTGGAAAAGTATAAATTTGGCTCTTAGTAAAATTTTACTTTGTGCTACTCGAATTCGCTCAAAAGTTCACCAGTTAGTTTCGGTAATAACCAGAATTCAAATATCAAATTTCAAGGAATTCCACCAAATCCGTTTGATAGATATGGTAGAAAATGCAAAATCGGCACTCAGTTCGGTTTTCCAGCTCTGACCTGACCAAATTTATAGATTCATTTAACACCTCGAATTTGAATATTGAATTTCAAGGAAATTGGTTGATAATTTCTCTTTATATACGCAAAAATGTAAGATCGGCCACATAGTCCATTCAAAAATTAACACTCACTTAGCCGAACTTGAAATACATGCGTAGGCACACAGACCGATAGACCGGCAGACCAATCTCTCTTCAAAAATAGTTTGTTTACGCTTCCATAATATGGCGAGAAGTGCGTTCCCACCGAAAACACGACATTCGAAATTTAGTGCAATCACATAACCTCCCTTATTGTATGCAATGTGGTCGTTAAAAAAGGAAAGAAAAAAACACAGAGCGACGGTTCTTTTATTCAATAAACAGAAAATATTTTCCTCTTTGTCATTACAAACTTTTATTTTTTATTTTTGTTTTCGGTTCTAAAAAGAAAATTTTCTATGCTCCATGATAGCTCTTAAGTGCTTTCTAGTATTTTATATTGATTTAAATTTATGAAGTGATCGCTAAAAGAATGTCAAAGATTTTATTGTAAAAGGAAAATAGAGTAAAATAAGTTTGTGTACAAAACCATTTTTAAAAATCCTTAGATAAATAAGGAATATTTGAATTCTTTTATTGATAACAAGGCATGTTTGTAAGGAATATTTATAGGAAGAAAATTTTCTTTTTAGAAGACTTCCAATTTTAATTTATGTTTTGTAAAAAAAGTTTTATTTTAATTTTGAAAGTTCGTAGGTTCAATACAAATGGCAGAAGAAGTAAGCATGGAAATATATTGAAAATGGAAATGTTCATTGAAATAAATTTGAAAACAACAAAAATTGCTATTATCTTGCTTTCTCAGCCTCCGCTTATGTTCTCAATTCGCAAAATGAGCAAAATTTCAATTTTCGGCATTTTTTTTCTTTGAAAGAGTAATATTGTTTTCCATATTTCAATAATTTGTCTTAACAAACTTACTTAACCGTCGAATTCGACTGTTAATACTTTTCAATTTCTCTTCCTGTACAAAGGGTATTCAATAATTTTTTTATTGCATTATAAATATAATTTTGATAAATTGAGCAATAAATCAATTTGATGTGTTAAAGGAAAATTTGCGTCTTTAGAGAAACCATTGGTATGATCCAAATTTTCTATGAATAGCAACAACCTGTTTTTTAATGTTTTTAGAAATCAAGGCTAAAGAAAATGATGAAATGAATTGAACCGCGCCCATTATGCCATGATTTGCCTTTTTGGTAGATAACTTTGAGTTTTAGTCTAAATATATGGTTAGGTCATTGAGCTGCTGTTTAAAATTATATTCACTTGTCCTAAATGAGTCATGTGGTTTCCTTATCGCAACATTTTAGTTCGAAATATTTCAGATGAGATTATTAATTGCGGGTCAATAAGAAAAACTGTTGGACTTTTCATAATTTTCTCAGAAAATTATTTTGCAACTAAATCCTACACGTTACTAATATGGAAAATTTATAGAATGTTGCTATTACTTAAATTTGTATGAGTAAGTAACTGTTTTTGCTCATTCGGCTTTTCAAAGAAGAATGTTGTCTACACGAGTATTAGGACATTATTTATAGAAATTTTTCACAAACTTCTAAAAACACTTTTCATCAACAGTGTATGTGCAACGTTTTGAACATCTTATATGAATGTGAGAAAAAAATTTATTCACCTCATGAGAGAAATTTTTTGTGTGGTTTAAAAATGTTACGAAAAAAAAAAACGAAAATAAATTTTCGGAAATTTGAATGAAAATGTAAAAATATTTTGCAACATAAACGGAGAAAAAAAAAATTAAACCAAACAAATTTGTTTAAATATAAAAAAGCAAAACACACAACACAAACACAATAAAATAAGTAAGAAAAATCTATGTATATGTGTGTGTGTTGAAAATTATAAAGGAAAGAAAAAATTGAATACAAACATTTTTTTTCCTATTATTTTCCCTGTGATTCTTCTATTTTTTTTTGTGCTGTTATGGTTGATAATAAAAATTCATTTACTTTTGAGTGCAAACATTCTTTTTCTATTCTATTTGTAATGCGGTATATTGACCTCGTATAGTTGATAGCTTCAGTTGTTTAAGAGGATACGTTTTGAATGTCTTTTAAATGGAATACTTGTAGCTGATTACAATAAGAAATTATTGTTTGCTTTTGCGTTACAAATAAAATTGTAAAAATAAAAATGTAGTATGTTTTTTCAAATTAATGTACTTCGTATGTATACGAACGTATACACGTTTACGGTATAATATAGATATATCAAAAATGTTTGTAACAAATAAAAAAGCACCTTCAAGTATCCTCTTGAATTTCTTAAGAGGAAATAGAAAAGGAGGTTAATGATACAAAATAGTACCTATGTATGTAGCAATAAAATATGAAAAAATTATTTATGTTCCATTAATTTTAAGTATGTGAATGTGTAAAATGCAATTTATATACGTTATTGTTTTGGAAGCTTAGAAATATCAAATAAATAAAATTATGTCCTTTTTTCAACAAAAATATCCAAAAAAATAAGTGTATGTATGTATGTACGTATGTATGTATATAAATCTAGATCTTATACAGAAAACTAATGTCATATACTCATATTTATCAGACCATCAGGCTCAGAGAGTAAATCAAAAATCTTATCCAAATTTTTATGAAAAACTCAAGGGAAATGGCTATTATGCATTTTTCACTCTGCAGATTCTGTACATCATATTAACTGCTTTTAAAGTTCGAAATAATTACGATATCTCGTTTATCAAGAATACTCCTTACTCAATATTCTTACAAAATCTGTGATATTGTCAACTGAAGTGATCTAAGTAATACGTTATATAATTAACTCCTATACTATTTTTTCAGAACAATCAGAATGTGGCAGATTCGAATTTTTTTACGTCTTGCTTTTATACAGGTGCGGTTATTATAAGTAAGATGTTTATAATATTGAAACACCTAAATTGAAACATATTTAAATACCTTAAACTACGTATGCATGTTTGCGTAAATTGAAAATTTGGCTGTGATATTTTTTTCCGAGCTATTATTATTACACTATTATTGTTAACGTTACATTATCATTGGAACTAACGTTTCACATTACGCTAACATTACATTGAAAGTAAAACTAGCTTCCATAACTTGGAGTATAATTTCAGCTTGTACCTTTGTTTACGCCATCCGTCTGTTCTGCGTAGTTGTATGAAAGTTTTAGTAAGTTTGTTTTCGTAAATTATCGTATCAACTTTCAATGATAGCGAAACAAATATGAATTGAAATAAGAAAATCATTAATAGAACATTTTAAAAACAAAAAGACCTGTTCGGGAAATACATATCTGCTATAGTTAACAGAAATCATTCTACATCCCACAAAATAATTAAATGCTTTAAAACTCAATAAACATACTAATAAATAAGCTTGAAGAAATACACAACGAAATTTTTAAGGAGAGCGGTCAAAGTTTTTTGATTAAAAAATATAAGCAAGCTCTATTTTTAAGTGGTTCAGTTTTAGCGGCAGAAGACGTGGGAAAAAAGTGCAATCAAACCATCAGAAATATGCTACATATGGAATACTTACATGGTCGTAAACCAAGAAAAATTCCCTTTATTAGTTAGATCAATAAATTGAAATGATTAAATTTTGAAAAAGAGCACCAAAATAAGAATTTTTTTTTTCCGGAGAAATGCTTTATTTACTGATGAAAGTAAATTAAATCTTTTTGGTTGTGATGGTAAACCATTTGGATGGAGAACACCCAGTCAGGAACTACGTTTAAAAAATTTAGTATTAACCCTTGAGCAATTGGTGGTCCTATAATGGTCTATGGCTCATTTTCAGCTGCTGAAGTATTGCTTTTAATTGATGTTGATGGAACATGCACCAAAATTTGTAAATGATATATTAAAACTTAATTTACCGAAGTATGCAAAAAAACTGAATTGAAACTACAGCCGATTGGAGATTTTACCAATACAATGATCCCAAACATAATAAAGTTTAATCTTGGCTGTTCTACAATAATGTTTCAATACACCACCTCAATTTGATTGAGGATATACGGGATTTGCTGGAAAAACGCATTAAGACTAGGACGTTTTCAAGCAAAACCGTATTGAAATCTATATTAAAAGAAGAATGTGATAAAATAGAGCTTGCTTTTTCCGAAAAACTTATAAAATCTATGCAATTTAAATTAAAAATGGTCATGATAAATAAAAGATTGCATAAATTATACATCAAATTTCTTGCAGAATGAATGAAAAATTTAAATGTAGTGATTTCTTTCAAGTTCAAAATATTTTAAAATTTTCCTGGAACCCCAAAATTTATTTTAAGCTATAAAATTTATGAAGTAAATCCGGTACAAAAAAATTTTATTCATTCGATAATTTTATAAATGTGCGCTTGAATATGTAGGGGGAATCATTGTTAGTGTCCTAATTTAATTTATTTTATTTTATCTTTTATTC